CTTCAAATCAGGAAAACACCCTGGCACGGCGTGACGAAACAGCCTCCCGCCGTCCCTCTGCCCGGGCCAAACGTCACTCCTGAACCGAATGAAAAAATCAATCAAGGGTCTGGCAGGCAATTGTTCCAGGCACACAGACCAAGCCACAAGACACCCTTCAAATCAGGAAAACACCCTGGCGCGGCGTGACGAAACAGCCTCCTGCCGTGCCTCTGCCCGGGCCAAACGTCACTCCTGAACCGAATGAAAAAATCAAGGGTCTGGCAGGCAATTGTTCCAGGCACACAAGCCACAAGACACCCTTCGAATCAGGAAAACACCCTGGCACGGCGTGACGAAACAGCCTCCTGCTGGCCCTCTGCCGCCAAACGCCACTCCTGAACGGAATAAAAAAATCAAGGTTCTGGCAGGAATTCCACTGTTGGGGCACAGAGCTCCATTGTTCCAGGCACAGAAATCTGTGCACCGAGCACCGAAGACACTTCGAGCTGGGATCTCGGCAGGCAATTCCACTGTTGCAGGGGCACAGAAACCTGTGCACCGAGCACCAAAAACACTTCGGGGTGGGATTTCTAGATAAAGAAGCAGTAGCACACCTTATGGCCACAATTGATACAACAGAACATACCATTTCGGGGCGCGCTCCCCCTTGCTGCACCACGGGGTCGGCGGATATGAGAACAATCGTTTCCTGACAAGACTTCTGAGGAGAATGTTCTCGAGCATTCTGCAAATGCGCACCTGACTCGCCTGACGCTCAACGGTCAGGAACCGTCCTCTCCATCGGCCAGACCGGTGCTCTCGCAACAGCAGTTGGAAGAGGTAGGCTTGAGCGTGGCGAACGGGAGGAGGGGTCACGCATCTCTGGGTGTGTCCATGAACAACAACTTAAAGCAGTTGAGCTTGATCACTTGCCTTCCTCTTCTTTTGCTTGTAGGTTGTTTGTGTTTTCAGTCGACACAGTTCGGTATGATACCACAATGGTTCAATACATCGTCTTTGTCGAAGATCCACAGGGCAAAGGTGGAGATTTCTTTCGTTCTGAAACCACGCATGGTCTCCAACTCCTTGCGTCAACAACTCCTTTGCCGTTTCAAGGAGTTGCTCTGTGAACACTCACAATTCGGTCTGTTTGTGGTTTCGTCGACACCCAGAGGAATGCGTCCCAAGAGGGACAGGCTCAAGTCGTCTCCTCTTGGGGGTGACTACGGTGCACGATCCCAGCGATCCCCCCAAAACCGCGGCTTTCCCACAAAAATGGGAGAGAGGCAACGCAAGGCACGCAAAACATGGGAACGGAATTGCAAAAGGAGTGTGAGTCGATCAAATCTTGGGTGTAGCGAAGCCAAACTGGCCATGTGAAAAGGACTTAGGACTTTTAGGAGGATGTTTGTATGCCATTGTTCTGCCATGGTAGGTCAAGACCAATAAGGTGTTGTCATCTCTTCTTAGTTTTTTGTGGCTGGACGTTTGGAAGGAAGATGCGGCCAGAAGTTGGTGTTTTCTTGTGCTCAAGACTGCTTGGACATTTAGTACCCTATTTGGAGCTAGTTGGACCAGTCATGTTATTTTGGTGTCTCGAAAAGGATTTCTGAACAACATCCTAAAAGCCTAAAATGTAAAACAAACTTCTCAGCCATGTTGTTCTTCGATGGTTGTATTTCTGTAAAGTAAATCTAATCATCACCCAGATTCTTCTTCAAGTCCTTTCTTTTCACACATGTTCTTGTTTATTCTTCTATTTTTTTGGTGGGACTTAGCTTCAATGATACCAGGTTAGCTACACCGAAATCTCAATAACAACTTCAGCATTGTGGGTCATTTCCTGGTGACCAGAGTCTTCCTGCCGAGGCAGCTAAGATGGCTGAACATCGGAAGCGGTTTGACAACCAAAGGCTGAAACTCGGACTGGCGCGTGGTTTTCTCATGCGTAGCGGCTGAGTCTCCTTCTGTACCGACTGGCGGTCTGACCGATTCTTTTTGTTTGCTCCTCTGCTGGTGAGATGGATTGACTTCAAAAGTGGATTCGTGTTGCTTTCTATTTGGAAGGTGGATCTAGAACAGCATTGTACCTCTGAACCATTCGAATGCCTTCTCCACGCCCCCCGGACATCTCTCCATGCGGAGGCCTTCAATAAAGGCCATTTTGGTTTCAGTTGTGGGGAAGTACATACCAACCTTGATGTGTTTGGGGCTTCAAGGGGGTTTGTTTGCCAGATGAAATGGCTGCATTTTTTCAGGTCGTAGTTTGCCCACGAACGACTCTTTCTCGCAACATCGAAAGAAAGAAAGGGGGTCGAGACTTGCAACACCAGACTCTTCTTGGCATGAGACCGGTGTTCTTTTGGACCATCTCCACACCGAGCATTTTCGAATCACTTATATAAAGCTCGAGATCTCCTGCAAAAGAGAACCAGAAAAAGACCGAGACGGACGACATGGACTCAACAACTTCCAGATTCCAATCTTGTGAATAAAAGCAGAATGAAATCGGTCTCCTTCCTTCGAGTCTTGCAGTCGAGAAATCCGCCGGATTGCGTCGAAGTGGCTTTGAGACACGCCAGGTACTACCAAGATGATCCTGGAGGCGCCGAGTGAGTGTTGAAATGTGTGGGTGGAGAGACACGCTACTCTGGTGGTACAAAGTAGACCTCCAGAAGCGAGAAGTTCACTTAGATGTGCCAGAGCAAGCTTGCGCAAGGCTGAAGTCTAGGACCTCAGGTACCTTTACTTCTGTGCGATATCAACAGATTGAAACGCCGTTCATTAGGAACAATGTTTGCTACTAGGGGCTCCTGGCATCGCTACTAGGAGCAAGGACGCTACGAACGGGGCTCCTGGCCTTACTACTAGGAGCAAGAAGCTATTAGTAACAATAAAACGCCATTTGAGAATGAGGAAGCACCGGCGAAGAACGGCCATTTTTCTTTTTCACCGCAGACGCATACGCACAGGTGGGCGTGCACAGCCCCTGCAGGAGCGAGACGTGGGCGTTCACGCGCGAGACCGGATGGCTGACCGGGGGCCGGACAGAGCTCAGGTTCTTACTTTTGGATTAGTGGAACTCTTTTGCAAGGATTGCAGATCCCCTTGAGTTGTTCACCCTGTCCTTTCACAAAACCTGATCCATTGACCATGACCCTTTCAGAGGTGAAACTCACCTTCAGCTTCAGACCCCTCCCTTACAACTAGCGATGGCCTCCAACCCAAGAGCGATGGCCTGCTTCACCTTCTCTTCGCCCACGTACACCAAAGCGTCCAGGACGTCAAGGCCCACGAGTCCATCATGGGCCGCTCGGTAGAACGTGGCGCATCGGAGGGAAAAAGGGAACTCCACTTGAAGCAACACCACATGAGGTGACAGTGACATGGACGCTGAGAAAAAAGTTAAGGTGGTGTAGGATTGGAAAATACAAGGACGCTGCTGTTCTGCTCGCTACAGCCACTGTTCTGGACTTTTTGAGGTCAAGGACATCTTGAATTTGACAACATAATTCAATAAACCTAGAAGCAATGGCCTCCAACCTAGTAGCGATGGCCAACCTTGAATTGAGTATTTTCAAGCAGGAGACTCTTTCAGAAGAAACGAAAGACCACAAGAGACTCTGATCTTTCGACCGTTCTGGGCTCTTTCGCCCGTTTGGGGTCGCGCAGTGTCTCTCGCTCATCAGCCTCAGCAGTTCCTCGGGCCTGAAAAGAGCTGAGGTGTCAACTCCTGGTCCTTACAGAAGGGGCAGGCCCGCAAGCGGGAAGTGACCGGGAAGGGGACCGGGAATCTGGAGATACAACACGAATCGCTGGGTTCAAAGCCCCGTGATTTGCACAGATAAACCTTAAGATTTGCACAAAGAAATGGGTCCCAAGTTCCAACAGGTCCAACGGTCCAACGGTAAACTTGGCTCTCTGTAGCTCAGTTCGGCCCTGAAAGGCTGCCGTGCAACGGATCAAGGCGATTCAAGGTATGTTGTCAGAAAAGCTGTGCAGTTCATTGCCCCTTTGCCGTTACTTTTGATTTTGTTTGTTATAAACGTTAAAGATGCTTCGTTCTGCTCCAGGCGTCTTTTTCCGGACGTTCCACTCCCCCAGAAGCCTTTGGACAGGCCTCCAACCCCTTCAAATGCAGGTGTCCCAAAGAGGTGGGGTCGTTTTAAGGACATTCACTCCCAATAGGTGAGCAAGGATAGCCCCGGCACAGGGGGCGACGGACCACATGGTTAGAGCCTCCCGTATTCCAAACATCCAATTCCTTTTCTTCCTCGCACGCATGTAGATAGGTGTCATTGGTGTCATTGTTTGTCATTGGAGTTTCCTGCTCCTACCCATCGAAACTGCTGTTCAATACCTCTTTGTTGGTTTCAAGCAATGGACCAGCATAGCTGGAAATGACATCGAACATTTGTCGCGAAATGAACAGAAGCCGTCGGAAAGCATATATGAAAGCCCAATCAAGTTGAGAGTCCATCTATCATTGAGACCAAACACACTGTTTGGGCTAAAGTCGCACCCAAAGCCGACCGTGAAGACTTGCAACGGATGCTGGAGGATGCCTTGGGTGAATGCCTTCCGGGCGGCATCGAGGAGGAAGTCCTGGCCGAGGCCTGCGGACGCTTGCGGACGCCTGCGGCCCCAATCACGTCCAAGCGGTTTCGACAAAGTGATGGTTGAGTCAATTGTCAATTGTGTTGCGAGTGGTTGGAAGAAGTATCCTTGTCAGGAGAATCGGAACATGAATGAAGAGGGAATCACGTCCACCTTCTTTTTGTTTGACAAAAGGTAGATATACTGAAGTAATTATGCCAGCATTGACATTTAGAAAAAGAGTCATAACAACAGACGCACGTCATTTTGTGTTTGGACCACAATCTAGTCGATCTATCCGCTCCACACTGCACAGACAAAGCGTAGCCTGATGGCTTCTTGCAGGTTGTCCAGCCGGTGTATCGAAATAATCACCAGCTGTTTGACGATGACGAGGAGATGTTGATGAAGGACGCCATCAAGGATGTATGTCTTCGGTTTTCTTCGACTCCCAGCGACAAACCGGCCAAACCAGAAGCTAGTTATTCCATTCAGTTTCCCATCACACACCTCGATTAGAACAGCCCTGGATGCGTCCTCTTTCGTTTTCTCCGATTTCTCGGTTTGGGCTCGCCATAAAGAACAATCCAACAAATCGAGATTTCTTGACCCTAAGTCCTAAGTTGTTCGAGTCAAGTCACAGACCACCCTCTGACCACTCCGATTGTAGGTTTCGCCGCTCCGATTCATCTGGCATTTGGATGTTTGGAGCACGGCTCAGAGCTCGAACGGGCTGCGTTCACCGTGTTCAGGAGATCCTCGACTTTGCCGATGCTTGAGCAGTTTCACAGCCAATGGTCGAATTCTTCCGGAGGGGGACCGAGCTGTTTGGGACGGAGAAGCTTCATTGGAAGCACCGTATCTTTTGGTCTAGTCTTTAAAGCTTCATTGGGTGTGCGACCCTTTGGCTTTTGGAGGAACAACGGTCGTCCTTCCAACTCGGGCGCCTGGCCACATTGCTGTGGGATGCGGTGATCAATATGGGGAGAATCAATGAGAATCAGGTGCTTGTTCGGAAAGGCATGGCAAAGAGAATTCCCCCTTGTCTTAGGTCCTGCTTAGGTCTTCACATGCCCTGCCATCGAATTCAGCCAACCAAAGGCAGCTGATCCACTCAGACTTGGCAAGAACGCGCCTCGTGACGTGGCCCACGAAGTCCGCTTCGGCCGTCGAGACGGTCTCGGTCCGTCCCTCCGAGTGACCGGCGACTTGAAGGGTCGTCGTGTGGCGAAAAGGCAAGAGAAGGGCGAAGCTCCGAGCGCCGGCCGCTTTTGGAGGCTCCGAGCGCCAGAAAGAACGAACTCTTCCTGCCCTCCCAAGGCAAAGGCCACAAGCGAGCATAGGGGTTGTTTGTGGTTGTGGGCCATAGGAGTTCCAAAGGGTTGTCCGAGCCATGAAGACGTTCCAAAGACTTTCTTGAGAGATTTGATGAGATGGTCTGACTGAAAGGTAGAGGCACTCCCACATGAACCATGGTTCTTCTTGCATGTCCAGAGGGGCTCGGAGCGATTGCGCGCTTTCCTCTCACCCTGCAAGCAGTGCAAGCAGTCGGAGCTGGACAGAGGACATGGACAGGTCCCACGTCGCATGGCATCAAGCGATGGCATCAAGTGTTGAATTATGATGAATCATGTTGAATCTTGTCCACAAGCAAATGCAGAACTCAAAACACTTGAAGCTGGTTTCCATCGGCTTTCACCAAAAGTGGTTGTGGAGTCTTTTCGGAGGTCAAGACTCAGAAGTTTGCTCTGTTCGATTACAAAAGTCAACATCTTGGATTTGGAGAGCTTCCCACAAAATACACAGTTGGGGAGAGACAATAGGGAAGAGTGTTAAAATGTTAAAACAATCAAAAGCAAAGCAAAAGCAACGCTTTCGGATCTTTTTACACCAATCAACGCCCGTCATTGATAGGCCAAAGGGATTTCTCCTTGTCTTACAGACCAGAGGTTTTTCCTCAAACAGTTGGGGATTCCCCCTGTTTCCAGCACTCGTTGTTGTTTTTTAAAGAGGACAACAGACCTGCTTGTCACACCAACACCTTCGTCCGAGTTCTTTAGATCGGCCTCGTCCAGATCTCCGAGTTTCACCCGATCAGCCATCCAAAAAAAGGGTCGAACGCATCGTGAGACGCTGAGTCGCGCTGAGTCGGTTTCTAGGTGACTCAGCGTTTCAGCTTGGGCTTCCTTCTTGAACGTCATTTCTGGAAGCGGTCACAAACGGACCTGGATCTCCCCCTACTGGCACCTTCTAGAGGAGAAACCATTCATTTGGCACCAAAAGGACATCTTCTTGGATCTCCGAAGCTTCCAAGATGGCCAGAAATCTGAGCCTTGATGGCACAAGCTGCGCCACGGAGCGGCCGTGTCTCGCCTCTCGGCGAGCCACAGGCGAACAGGATCGAAGATTGAAGCATAGCACAGCCGCTACCGCTACCAGCGGATTGAGCGAAAGTACCCGTGCACTGGCATTCAACAGACCCCCGTCCTTAGTGGTTGGTGCCCCTTCCCACCTTCCCACGCCCTTCTCGCATCTCATTCACACAGCATTTGCAAAGCACGGAGACTTTCAAGTTTGCGGCACGGTCCGCTAGTTTGGCATGGCTGAAACCGACTCGACTCACCAAAGTGTGACCCACGTGCCTACCGCAACACCATCGTCCAGTCGGTCCAAAACCCCCCAGTCGCCGGACGACACGGGGTGACAAGACCACACGGCGGCTGTCCCACGCGGCTATTGCGCCATGCAATGCTGCACTTGGACCGACTCGAGGTGCGGGATCAGGGCTGCTGGTGAGGGGCGACCCTGATGGGTTTTGGTCGTTTTGCTGAGTGGCGGTTTCGGATGGGAGGGAGTGGATCAACATCTGGAATTGGTGGATGAATTTCCTGAGTTGCTTTCTCCTACTTCTGAGTTGACCTTCGATTGGGTCAACAAAGCGTTCCTTGAAAATCTGAGAGTGTTTGAAGTTCTTTCAGTCTTTCAGGAAATTCTAGGTATGTTGTGCTGGCTTTCTTGCTAAACAGCGAACATGCAACCTGCTGCTGGAGCCTGCTGGAACCAGGCGTGGCATTTGCTGCAGCAGCAGCTGGAGGAGTCAGCGGAGACCATCCTCCCTGAGGCCGGAAAATCCAGGCCAAACAGCTGGCTGGGTGTTCCTCTCCAAAGGAGGCCTTAAAGGAAACAAACACATGCAAGCTTCAGTTTCATGGAATAAGATGGAAGGGGCCAGAGCTCCCACTTGTCCTGGCATTTGCTGTCCTATGCGCCGATTATATCGGTATATACATATAGGGGGCTGAAAGGTCGAACTCGACCTTTGCCTTTCCCTTGCAGGAATTACATGCACCAGCCTTTTTTTTTCCCCTTCTTCTTCAATTCCTGGGACTTTCAGCCTTTAGACAGTCTTTTCGTTCTTCTTTTGATCTCTTCCTTCCTCCCTTACTCCCTTCCTCCCTTCCTCACTTCCTCACTTCCTCCCTTCCTTTCTTCCTTTCTTCCTTTCTTCCTTCCCTTACTTGCTTTCTAATGACGACACGTGACCATGGGGAATTTTCTGGCTGGCAGGAGGTGCAATCGCCGCAATCACCCAGCTCGCCGTCTCACGCTCTCAATGTCGAGAGCAGCCCAGGCATGAAACGGTCAAACGTGGTTGAGTGGTCAGTTGGGCAGAGAGGCTTCAAACTTGAGCTTTTCGTTGGACCAAAGGTGCTTGGTTCAACCTAAATCGACCTTGCCTGCAATGACCATTGAGATCGCTAAGCCAACTCCCAAATTTGTTTCGCCTGGATGCCTTCAGCTTCGTTGGAGGCCCTCTGTCAAGGAGCTTTCGTCCGGCGACGACGTTTCCGTCCATGTGCGGTCGGGGTGTTTCATCTCCAGGTGAGGAGAGCGTTCGATCTCCGAGAGATGAGGCGTGGGCCGGGTGGGCCGAGAGATGAGGAGACTCTCAGGGTGGTTTTAGGAGCAAAAGGAGTCGATTTGGCTAGAGGAGAGCATCTCAAAAGGATAGAGAGTCGATTTGGCTTTGGATCATCATTGCGAGCTAAGGGCTTTTTGAATGGCTTTGATGTGGTAGTTGATGAAAAAAAAAAATTGCTCTCCTCAACTCTCACCACAAGCTGGCATGGCATTCCGGAAGAGGAGCACTATTGCAACGATGTTCAACATGTTCCATGTTCAAACCTACTCAAAGCTCTTCACACCAAGATAGGGTTCCTTCTCTTTCAAACCGAAGAAGTGGCTCTGGCCGACCGCCGCGCCGGACCAGCGCCCCACCAGGCGTCGCCGGTGACCGAGTCCTCGGGCCGCTGGTCGGCGTCGCCTTCTTCTGCGCTGCGGCGAGAGCCGCTGGTTTGCACCGCAGGTCGAGGAGAAAAGGAGAAACCCCCACTGTTGCGGAGGATTAGACAATCCCACAAGAGTAAGTTTCTTTTTTGGGCGGAACAAGAAAGGACATAAGGCAAAGATGTTTCTTCTCCTATGTTCTGTTGTTCCTTTCTCTGGAATGGCAGAAGGTGCAAGTGCACGTCATCCTCGACTTGAACACCACCTCGGGGTGGAACTGACTCTGTCCGAGCGGGCTTTTCGGACTCGGCCTGGGGTTTCGAAGATCAACCCTTCTGGTCCGCGCGGACATGCTGACACCTGTTGGGGAGGGGTTGGGATGATTGGTTGCGGGTAAACTTCCAACATCATGTGATGAGATGTGAGGTGTCTGAAAAACCGCGTGTCTTGCACTGTGAGCAGTGGACTATGTGCGTGGGGTTGTCCATGCAAGGCACCAAACTCCATGCATCAAAACGGCCCTCCCCCCGAACCTGTTGTGCTTGGAGAACAGCACATCTTCCCCCCTCCCGCGCTGGGCCTGAACATTTGGACCGGTGGGGCAGATACATCTGATGATCACAGAACTCTAGTGGAGTGAAAAAAAACAATGTCAAGAACTTTCTCGCCTCTTTTCCCTACATTGGAAGCACCTCATCCTTTTCGGACCTGCCTCATGCTGCGGCTTGGCTTCCTTCACGGCCGCTCCAAGGCTGGCAGAGGCCGTGGCGCGGAGGGCAGAGAGCAAGGCAGCCTGGAGCCGCAGCGTGCGCCACGCCAGCACGGCCGAAGCCCGCGAGGCCGACAGAGGGATCGGTAGACGGAAGCAGTCCAAGTTTTAGATATTTGGTGGGTTTCCTGGCATGATTGGCTTTTAGGGCCATGAAGTTGATTTTGGTAGGACTTCCCAGAGCTCACTCCTAGTTTGTGCGCATCAAAGCCCTCAGCGCCAGGAGCGATGGGTAAAGAAGATCACCTCTGAGCTGGAGGAGACAGGCTGGGTGAGTGGCTGCCGGCCAGGGTGTGAGGGCAAGTCACCAAATGAGTCAAATGAGAAGCTGCATGAGGAAGTGAATTTCACAAGTTGTCCGGCGTTTCCAGCAGTGAAGCTAAGGGTGTTTGAGTTGTTGATTTGAATTGCCGTTCTGCTTCATTTTGGAGATCAGACCGAAAGGTGTGGGGTTTCCTCCTCTGGCAGTGGTAAAGTAGATGCAGAACCTTGTCTCCAGGACGCACTCATGATCTTTCAACCCGCAGTGAATTCCCCCTCAGCCGCTTGTAATTAGGCGCTCGAGCTCAACAGATGAAGAAGAAGTTCGCCCAGGACTGAACGGTGAGCATATTCATACTTATGGTACTTGCAGTAGCTTACCTATTGCTTGTGATGTGTGCGTATTGCATTTGCATCTCCAGCATTACATACTTTTCTAAAACCAGGGTCTATCCCAACACAAGTCACTTGGTTTGTCGCAGCCAGAAGGCATTTCACTAAGGTCCTGCCATGAGCCAACCTGGTGATA